AGGGTCCGCTCAGGTGGTGCTGACGCCATTGACGGTTTTTTGTTATATTTGTGCTCTGCATTTGCTTGATGCTGAACAGATGATCTGGTATATTTCATAGTCATGATAATAATAAAATTTCACAAAGACACTGCATTGGCATATTAGTAAGGGGTGGGCATCACAATTCAGAATACAAAGGGAATACAACTGACAGGGTTTTAGGTTTACGCTATAAAGGTCTTGCTGAATCCATGCTGATTCACTGACACTATAAATAATCGAAAAATCGGCCAAGGAAATAATGGTAGCAAATGAACGAGTTGATAGACCTTGTTATAGTCTGAGTGCCTTGTTAACGTTTGGGTTGAGAAAAGGAAGATGCGTTTCTGTGCATAAACGAAGTAGCTTTTCTTTGGTTTCCGTGTGTATGTAGTGTTGTTGGCGAAACAGGAGAAACTAGAGATAATGACAATGTTGATTAATTCATGTTTGTTGTGGAGCTCTTTAGTCATTTGATATCCTCAGCTACAGCATGTTGGTTTGATTTCGCAATTGATTTTATAGCAACAATATAGTTCATTATATTTACTTCGTTTTCCTTTCCTATTATAGAACTGGAGGAAGGGAATATTTGCTAATTCAGAACCAACGAACACCTGCGTAAGAGCACTGATTCATAAGCCTTTGCATTGCTTGCTGATTTTGTTGACATCAGCTTTACTCCTGTTACAGCTGCCCTTGTTGCAACCACTACTTGGGTTTGACGGTGTTATTCCTGTCACCATCGTCTTCACCATAGAAATGATGATAGTAATGATGTAATGGTAAAGATTATAGTCTAATAATGATAGTGTTATATGACAGTAACTGTGATAAGGATGGTATGGACCTTCTTGATTATAGTGATGATTGTAATGATAGAAATAATGATGTATTAATAGTAGCAGTAACAATAATGGACATGATAATGAAAATCATAATAACACTGATGGTATTATAGATAATGATGCTATCATTATTACTCTCATTAACATCACTGATATGATCTTGAAATATCATCATTATGATTATCATTAAAACTTTTTACCAACATCATTATAGTTATCATTACTGATATCCCTCTGGTTATTGTGAATGTCATTATCATAACGGCTGCTGTAGAAAGAGTTACGAGTGAGAATGAATATCTTATCAGGCAAGATATGATATCGAAACCTGTCAAATACATGTCTTGCACTGCGAAGATATTCCTTTTTATTCATAACTTTTTGTTTTTACATTTGTCGCAACATACACTGTTCATAACAGTTGTTATTATTGTGATTATTGATATGATTTTTACCATTATTTCTAGTACTAATATTGACTTCACTATTAATACCACAATCATCATTATCATCATCATCATCCTCACTTTTTTCATTATCATTATTACGATGGTTATTATTGTTATTGTTATTATTATTATTATTATTATTATTATTATTATTATTATTATTATTATTATTATTATTATTATTATTATTATTATCATTATTGATTATTTTTTATTTTATTATTCTTATTGGTATTATTATTATCATTATCATCATCATCATCACTATCATTATTATTATCATTATTATTATCATTATCATTATTATCACCATCAATATCATTGTTATTATCATTATTATTATTATCATCATCACTATCATTGTTATCATTATTATAATCATTGTTATTATTATCATTATCATTGTTATTATTATCATCATTGTTATTATTATTATTATCATTATTATTATTATTTTATTATTTTCACTATCATTGTTATTATCATCGTTATCATTATCATTATTATCATTGTTATCCTGATCCTAATTATTCTTATGATCCTTATCGGTATTGTTATTATTTTTGTTTTTATTATCGTTATCATTATTATAATTATTACTATTATTATTATTGTTGTTGTTGTTGTTATCATTACTATTATTATTACTATTATCATTATTATTGTTATCT